CTGTGATGTCTGCATCTATGGCTCAGCTAAGGGCTTGGTAATTTTTATCTTGAATAACAAGTGCAGAGGCGCTCATTCCAACTGCATCGGCCATTCCAAAACTGCGAAGGACCATGGTGGTAGTGATAACTTCCTTTTGTGTCGGGTGAAGGAAGGCAGGGAAGAAAAGGGAGAGAGCCTGAGATCCATCTCGTCACCTGAAAGATAAGTAATCTTAGGAATTAGTTGTACCAGGACACAAAACCCTTTGGTCTGGTTAAGGGTTAGGGCATGGATACATAGGGTCAGTCCAGAGGAGCAGGCGCACCAAGAGGTATTGGGTGGTATAAGATAGACATCAGTGGGTGGGATAGTCTCAGTGACATTGCAGAGTGGCAAATAAGGGGAAGGTATATCAGTCCCGGGGGAAACTACACAAAGTCCAGATCCCTGAACAGATGGTAAAGTTAATTTTGGTCCATTGTTGTCCCATCGGTATTCATTTGCAAAGGTAGCATTAGTAAAACTGTCCCAGAGAGCTATGGCATCGTAAAATGGGGGCCTAGAGCTTAAGCATAGCCAGAAGTCAATGGTGTAGTTGGGTTTGGAGGCATTGAGTGCATTAAAGACAGCTCTAACCAGGCCCAAGGGCCCTGGTGCCAGGGCCCTTATTGCCATATCTTGGGGGCTTGTGGTAATGGGAATGTTAATGGAGTTAGGAGCAGGGACTGGCAAAGGAACACGAAGGACCTGGTTGGGTCCTATAGACGGGAGGGTCGATAGGGCGTGCAAGTCTCTGGGGTCCCAGAGGTAGAAGAGGGGCACAGGAGGAGCAGGCATGGACCAGATGTTTACAACTCTGAATTGGCACAGTGGGTAGAAGCCTATGTATAGCCTGGGAAGAAAGATGAAAACGGGTGTGCAAGTGTCTGGCCTGTTGAATTATGGTGGTGTCGCTAGGGTGGCGCTCAGGACCAGTTTGTCAATAGTGGCCATTACCTCTGCCAGAAGCCCCGGGAGATTGGTATGAGAGCATAAAGGTTGAACATACCAGGGGGGAGATCGTTGCTCAAGTAACAATTGTGATGAGGAGAGCAACATATCGAGGGGGCTCTGGCAAGGTCGGAAGGCTGCAAAGGCCAGGTGTCGTAGAGTCTGGACTACATAAGCACTGTCAGAAAAAATATTACAGGGAGTTGTAGGGAAATCCTGAAAGACCTGTAACACGGCTGAGAGCTCTCCAAGCTGCACAGATCCCTGAAAGGGGAAAACCTTATGTGAGGAGAGTTGTCTTTCTAGGTAAGTTATATAGCCGAATTTGTGCTTACTGGAACCAGTAAAGATTAGAGGAGCCTTAGGAAGGGGGTTACGTTTTGGAAACGCCTGAGGAAAAAGGGACAGGGGAAGTGGTCTTATTCCTTGAAGGAGTTTATGTTTAGGATAACGACTGTCATACTTTCCTTGATAGACTAGTAGGAGAGTTTGGAAGCCAGGGTTATCAAGGAACAATGACTGGAGCATGGGAAGTGGAAGGGAGAGAATCAATGATTCCGGGTCACGGCCATACAGAAGGCGGGAGGTGTGGACAAGTTTAAGGGCTAGCATAGCCCATGCCTCAATGGCCAGAGTAACCTTATTTAGTTGACTCCATGAAGAACGGACCCATATCAGGGGGGCATGGGTCTGCCAGAGAGGTCCTAGAGGGGTGATATTAGTAGGGATAACCAGAGTTTGGATAGGCAACTTTAGCTGTATTCTATTTATGAATGCCTAGGATAGGTACGAATTGATGGTTGTAACAACATGCTGTGCTTCCAGAGAGACCTTGCGGGGAATGGAGATCATGTTAGTACCTCACAAGGGTCAAAGAGTGGCATAAGTTCTTCCATGGACATGGGTAAGAAGCCCTGTATCCAATTTATGTTGCCACAGAGGATCTGTGCCTCTGAAGGGTAATCTCATTTGGCAAGTTAAGCACGGGAGCTTTAGGGCGAATGACATCTTGAATGGAGTGGCCCACAAAGATATAAGGGGCATGTAACTGAATTTTGTCTGCTGCAATGGTGAGACCCAATGCTCAGAGATTGTTTTTGAGTTTTTGAAAAGCTCCTTGCAAGATCTTAGGATCCTTATGGGCAATAAGAATGTCATCCATATAATGTAAAATATAAACCTCAGTCAGCAAAGGTCTACAGGCATGGACCACATAATATTGGCAGATAGTAGGGCTGTTTTTCATGCCCTGAGGCAGAACCTTCCATTGGCAGTGTTGAGCCAGAAGGTTATGGTTAGTGGCAGGCACAGAGAAGGCAAAATAGGGCTTATCATCATCATGAAGGGGTATAGCAGTAGGGTGAGGCATTCCTGGTTGAAGGGTCCCTAAAGGCTTCATATGTTCATTAATAGCCCTTAAATCATGTAAAAGTCTCCATTTTCCTGATTTCTTTTGTATAACAAAAATGGGAGAATTATGAGGACTAAGGGAGGGCTCAAGGATATGGCCCAAGGATAATTGTTCCTGGACCAAAGAATCAAATGAGTTAATTTATGTGAAGGAAGAGGCCACTGCTCCACCCATATGGGGGCTTTTATGTCCCACGTTAGTTTGATGGGAGTGGCTTGGGCAGCGGATCAGTGGCCATTAGAATTGAGGGTGAGGATGGGGGGCATTACCCAACCGCTGGTCTACAATGCAGTTTTCATAAAATGCCTTGTCATCTGTAGTTAAAACGGCTTCCATGTCATGAAGGACATCTCTCCCCTATAAATTATGAGGAAGTCCCATGGCTAAGAGTGGTCTAACAGCTCCTGTATTGCTGCTCAGATCAGTCCAGATTACTGGACGTTGGACTTGGGTGTTCTGTAAACCTCCAACTCCTTGTATAGGGGGTCCAGGTTTGCAGTGCCAATGAGACAATGTTTCCTCTTGTCTAATCACAGTAATGTCAGCCCCTGTATCAATCAGGCCCTTAAATTTATGGCCATCTAAGGAGAGTTGCATCCTAGGCTTATGCAAGTCAAGTCAATAGGTATCATCCATTGGATGTGGGGAGTGTACTCCCTCACTTCCTCTCTTTGGGGCAGGGCTGAGAGTTGCCCCGTTGCCTGTTTAAAGCCACCTTTTGTATGGGGTTGCCATCCGCATCTATCTTGGTTTTGCATTCCCTCACCCAATGAAAGCCCTTGCGGCACCTTGGGCATTTAGAAGGGGGAACCTGACTCCTTTTGCCTCTTTCATGATCTTATTTGGGCAGGTGCATGACCAATGGCCCTGTCCCCCACAGGCCCAACATTTGCCCTTGTCCATCACAGCCTGCAGCTGATGAGCAGCCAGTGCCTCAGCAAGGGCTGTGGCATGGGCCCGAGCAGTCCCTACATCTCAACAAGCCAAAATCCATTCAGAAACATTCTTGTGTCTAACAGGTCCTATGGCAAGGTGGCACTCTGTAGAACAGCCCTCATACATGAGCTCCTTGAGCAAAGAATCAGCAGCCCCCCGATGACTGATTTTTCTATTTATACTTTGTTGGCACCTTTCAACAAAATCAGAGAAAGGCTCGCCTGGTTTTTGTATTAATTTGGTTAATTTAGTATCATCACAAGTCAGCATACTTCGAAAAACGTGAAGCACACAAAGCATGAAGCACACAAAGTAGTGAGGAGGTCCCTGTACCTGAGCCTGGGGGGTTTCAAAAATGCCATGCCCTACCAGTGCACCAAATCCAATGTTTTGGACGTTGGCATTTCTATTGCGCTCTGCCTGCTGTTCACGTTCATCTTGGTAAACAGATTTCCATAAAAGAAAATCACCTCCCTGTAAACAGGCACAGGCAGTATTTTGCCAATCATAGGGGGTATTGGCTACATGGCTTATTGTATCTAATAACTGACCAAACCAGGGGGATTGAATGCCATCCTCAACCGCTGCCTTACGCAGCGTTCTTAAGGTATCATGAGGATATGTATTCCAAACATTGGGGTTTTGTCCCTGATTAATGGTAACCAGGAAGAACCGTGGAAAATCCCCCATTGTATCGTAAGAGAGGGGCTTAGGTGGGAGAGGCTTCCAGTCCTCCTCCAGGAGGGGGAGTAGATAGGCCTGGGAGAAACTTCCTTGAAACCAGTGATGGTGGAGGGTAGCCACCGCCCCGTAACCAGAGGCTGTCTTAACTTCCTGTTTTTCACCCAGGGAGCTCTCAAACCCCGGTTCCTCATTCTTTATATCATCATTAGCAGTCATTGTTTTGTCAGAACAAGAGTCAGTCAGTTTTGCCTTAACTGGAAATGCCTGGGACAGGCTATCCCAAGCATCCTGTTGCTGTATTTGTTCATCTATCCTTTAATAGGAGATTGTCCTATTCAGGGGCTTCGGGGGTAACCCCCTGAAGAGAAGCCAAAATGGCTGTCACAATGGGGTAGAATGGCCCAGACTGCGGGCATCCCTCCCTGACTTCTCTGCATCAGGCCAGGAATAGAACACGGGCCCATTACTTGGGATCCCAGCAGCAAGAATCCGTAAACCAGGGGGCAAGAGCTAAAACTTCATCTAAAACCTTAGTTACTTCCTTCTCTGTTACCCTAATATGCCTACTCCTGAGGAGAGGAGCCAGCACAGCAGTGCTGGGGCTGGCAGCAGCTGGATGGCTATTCCCCATACCAGAGGTCACTCACCCTGCAAGACATACCCAAAGGGACTCAGGAACCGGTCAAGGAGACGATCAGCGAAGATAGGAGTGGCACACCAAACCAAAGACCATGAGCCAGAAGAAAAAGCAGAACAAAACAAAAGCAGTGAGCAACCATGGGAGGATCACTGGCAAAGGAAGCATCAGGAGCCCCGAGTGTTATAGCTCAGTGTTACAGTTCCGTGGGGTAGGGGGTCTTCAAGCCCCACATTGGGCACCAGCTGTGGTCGCTCTCCCGCCTTCTCCATTCCTCTGATCAGTCGTCTGGTCCCAGACCCCAGGGCTGGTGAGGAGTCTGTGTTAGCATAGCCGCATTCAGACAGGAGACCAGGTTCAGTGACACAGATCTACTTTATTGCAGGAAGGCACAAGCTTATATAGGGGTAGTGGTCCAATCATAGTACAGCAAGTAGGATTCCTCATTAGCATGATAGGCCTAGTATCCTATTACAATCTAGCAGGCCAGATGCCCTATTAGCATAAGTTTCAGTTTCTTTAGGTTTCAGATTCTTGGAAACCATGTGACCTACATAAGTTTTTCTGAGAAGAAACAGGAAATACTGCATTCCAGATGACAGTCATGTAAGGCAAAGGGTAAAATCAGTTATAGGACAACAGGTCATTATTGGTAAAATCTTCCTTGTGGTACTCAGCTGGAACAAAGTAGTTGGGGACTCTGATTCTAGTGCTATGATGAAAAGAAAGTACTCTATTGATAAGCCTGGTGTGTGGAGGGGGAAGAAGCAAATTTCAAAATGGTTTTGTGATATTGAAATGTCTAATAGGGAGTTTAAAAAACAGGATAATATACTAAGACTGATCTGCTTTTCTGGTTGAGCTGAAATTTTGCACTTACAAAGCTAAAATGCCAAGTAAACACTATTTTCACTTCTTTTTGTAGACACACAGTATAAACAGCTGCCATATTTCACCTCAGATGAAGCAATGTGTCAAAGTTTAGGGACAAGGATGTTAAATAACTTCCCAGTTTTATGAAGCATAAGTCTTTTAATAGCACTGTTAGCTATCTACAATAGGAAAGTAAACAAAGATCTGAGGGTCATAATAGATTTCCCAAAGATACTAGTTTCTATTTTAACAGATAGTTACTCCACTTATTGGAAATTTAGCAGACATGAGTAAATTTGTCCTGGGTATGTATATAAATAAAATGGATTTTCAGAATAAAATGGCATATGCACAAAAAATAAAAATTAAAAACTGAGAGGGGGCATGAGAAAACATCAGTATTAAAAAATGTATTAAAAATGACAACTTAAAGCAGGCAGCTTCCCATTCATGCCACGCGATATGCCTTCATTAAGGTGTACTCTTTCCGGTTGGTGTGAGCAGCCCAGATGAAGAGAGCAGAAGCCATGAACTGCAATGGAGCCGAGATGCAAGCCAGGCAGAAGGACCATCCAAATTCTCCAGATACATTCTCAGGCAGCACGAGTTTCTGATGCAGTAGTTCAATTCCAGCAACATAACAACTTACAGAGCCTAGTGTACACAGACCTTAGAAAGTAATTTAGAAATAAAATTGTGGTTTACCTAAGAGCACAGTACAGAGCTTTTCAAGCAATGTGACAGCACAGACAGTACAATGACATGTCAATGGTTCTAAGTTACAACTCCAACCCATAAGGAGACAGGAAGGATTTAAATATCAGGCTTGGACCCACCTGCAAGAAGATGGAGAATGCCTGTGGCAATGGTGGGGTACAAGCTTCGGCAGATACAGGCGCAAAGTCCAATCAACGCCCCAAAGCACATCAAACCTAAACTAACAAAAGGTAACAGGAACTGGCAACGCCAAAGATCTGGTTTTAAAAAGGAGCAAAAGACCAAATAGTTACTATGATTTCAGACCATTTTCCTATAATGGCAATGTCTTTTATTCTTATTCTAAAGAATTACAACTCTTCTCAGAAAGTGAGAAAGAAGTCTTTTAATACGGAGGTCACCATTATTATTCAAAGGGATGCTAATTGGTCTGGAAACAAATAAAAGGTCATGTTCGTTGTACACAGGCTTTGAATTAACCCAACATTACTACTGGGTGCTATTACTATTTCTTTTTCATAACTGAAGAAACTGAGACAAGTGTCATTAACTTGTATAAATTAGGGTATCTGCCAATATTTGAAGCAAAAAATTAGTTTGCATCTATAAACAAAAGTCTTCACATGATCAAAGGGCAGGCAATCACAAATAAATAAATGATGACTACAAATGAGTACAGGCTGGATGCAGAACGCATGAGGCACTCAGTGGCAGTTTTAATTCTCATAACCTCACTTCACTCTCATCACAAAGGTGAATACCTGCAGTTACATCACTGGTTCCTCTCAGAACACAGTCATTACTCTGGGCAAGCTCAAGCAAATGGAACCCTAAAAGCTGAGGCACACATCTGAGATAAGACTTCCCAGCAGTCTAATTCTCAGGGAATGGAAAGTTTACAGTAACTGGGTTTTTGGGGCATCTACTGTCTCATGACTCCTAACCAGAACTGGATAAACACTTTAGGCAGGCTTGGTATTCACCCACTGAGAGCTTGCAGCAGCCTTCAACACAGGTGATGCCAGTGCATCTTAAATATAGGACTTTAATATGTAAACCTACTACATTTCCTCTTATTTGGGCTCATTAATAACATCTTTTCGAGGTCTGGACTCCATTCTCCTAGCTGCCTCCCTCAAGTTCAAATCACTTGAAGTTTGGTAATTATGCTTCTCACAGAACTGAGTCCTTTGGAATAGTGTCAGGGAAGTTATTTCATGTTCATGATGCTGGCATACTAGAAAAACAGAGTTTGACCAAACACAAATGATTTTTCTCCCCAATTATTCTGCTGAAAGCAAAGTACTCACAGGTCCGGAGTAAATCAATTCCACTATTGTGATTTCCAGGATCAACATACTTCTCCATGAACTGCTCATTTAGTGTGAAACTCATGCACTTTGTAACCACATCAAATGACTCTGGAACAAGAACAATGCCTGCTTATTATTTTCGTTAAAAACAAATCATAATAATATCTTTCAAAAATTATCTTTCGAAGTAAAAAATGAAGCCAAAAGACATTCCCAGAGACCTAAGCAATCTCTAGGGCCCAATGGACACCACTGGGTCTCAATGGCAGTCTCAAGACGGAGGCACAAGGAAGAAAAAAACAAATTATGCACAGTACATGAGCGACAAACTAGGTATATGAATTTTGATCTTCTTCCCAAACCTATACCAGTCCTAGCCCCCATTTCAAGAGATGACGCAAGTCTTCCCTACTCTTCCAGTTTATCAGATAAGAAACTTCAGTCATTTTTGCCCATGTATACTCCCACAGAAAATCCTCAAAGTTCTTCCTTCAAAATCCAACCATATCCAGTTGCTGCTCAGTGCTACCACACTGGTCTGATTCACAATCATCTCTCACCTGAATTACGGCACAGCCTCTTAACCAAACCACTAGCTTGAACCTTCACCTTCTACCCATGTGTTTACACGTCAACCAGAGTGCTCAGGTCATGTCTTGCTTCTGCTCATTGTCCTTCCTTACAATGGCTCTCATGCTATAAAACTCAAGGTCTTCATGAAGCCTAAAGTGTGCGTATGATTTGCCCCATTCCCACCCGCCCAGTATGTGCTTCTGTGCCCTGAGTAGAACTGAAAATTCTAAATTCTAAATGTGTCCCCTTTCTTTGCATAGTATTTCCATTTTTCATATGTGATACAGAACTGTCCTTTATATACATGGTAACTCAAGCTTGTTCTGCTATGATTTAATACAATGCTTTCCCCCTATAAGGCCAACAGAAGTAAATATAAACAAAAATAAACTGTAAAACTTTTTTATGCAGGACACTAAGATTTCCAATTTAATAACTGAAAATCAAAATCTTTGTGTTAAAATAAGAACATCTGAAGAATAAGCCTAAAGAACCTAAGGTTTTTTTCTGTAATTTTTTTTAGCCTTCAAACTCTTTACCAAAATAGTTGGGCAACGGTCTCAAATACGTATGGCTTTAAATGCAGAGCTGGTCAAATTATATCCTCTAAGATATGAGCTAAATGATAAAAATCTACTATAACACAGCAAACTCAAAAAAGGACAATCAATTCACATTTTGACTTGATCTTGGATATCACTCACTCCTTTACCAATGATTAAATATCCTCATAACATGTGAGATGAATAAAGAGCATTTTAATGAGTAAATAGGTATAAGGATTAAAACGGTTTTCCCGAGATAAGGAAGTTACTGATCCAATCATTATTAATGAGTACCATGGTAAAAGCAGAAGCTAAGAGAAAACAGTAGGAAGAAAAAAGATTTCTTAGGGGAAGGAGAGACTGCACAACCTTGCTTATACATAACTGATCAAGCATTTGGGACAGGCTATTACCAAGTAGGTAAAGGAAAAAGAATCTGAAGTAAAGAATACCTGTCCTTTCTGGTGGCGTATACCAATGTGTGTTTTGGGGTATGGTAATGCACCGTCTCCACAATCCCATTGTGCCATTGTACCGGAACAGTGCATCATTATAAGTCTTTTCATCTGCCTCATCACCAAGAAAATCATCCCAGGTGCTTTTATTCAAGTCACTTGAATTTTCTTGAACAGGACTTCGATATTCGTACCAGAAGTCTGTGCCTATTGAGGCTGCCATGTAGACGGTGGAAATCAGGCTAAGCACACAAGCAATGACAAAGGCTGTCGCAAAACGGTTATCCATCCTGGCATTCAGACTGCTCTGTTTAAGTTGAAGAAAGAACTAAAATTAGACTTCAAGAACAAATAAGAATATTTACAAAGTATCTCAAAAACACCCTTTACGCTAGACCCCATCCCTTTTTATGCAATGTTTATTATTAAAGAATTTTTAAAACGAAAAGGCAAAGTTCTTACGTTTAAAACAAAACTCATTCTCAGGAAAGTACTTATGAAAAGCTCACATACCCAGGATGCTACGGAGACAGAAGTCTTGTTCTCTAGTCTATCACCTGCATACTAAAACAGACAACACTGAAATGGACATACACATTACAGATACAAACAACAGACATGCCCATGGTCAGCCATGTAGCGTGCACACATTTTTAATTGTAGGTTGAATTTTTAAGCAGGCTATAAAACGTTAAATGTTCTGGGTTTGGGTGAGAAAAAGACAAAAGAAAACTACAAATCAGCTGCTCTGAAGTGGGAAGGTTTCCAAAATAAGAGCAAGAGTTACTTGGAAGTCAGAGTTGAAGGTGTTAACCCAAAGGGAAAGTTTGTTTTCATTGCACATCATAGCACACAGTAACATCATAACATTAGGTCTCAATCAATCCCCCAAACCACTAAAGCTGAGCCAAGCTTCTCCACACTGCCAGATTCTTCACTCCTACTTTCCTCATCCTTTACACTTCTCAAACTCAACTGCAACCGTGCTCCCTAAATCCTAAAGTACAGCATATGTATCCATAAAAGCTAAACGATCCCTTCTTACGGATAGAAAACTGAGTTAATGCAAAATCGGAATACTCCTAGGCGTGGACAGGGCTCCAGTAGTAAATGGCCGCGGCAAAATGACTCAAGGCGGATCGCGCTGAGTCAACCCTGCCAAGTGTACACATCGACCAAGCAAACCCCTGGCAAAGGCACTGGGAGCCGAGTTTGTAGGATGGGGAGTGACTCGGAAAGGTCAGGGCAATTACGGTAATTAACGATAACTCAGTAGTGGGGCTGCACTCTGGTTTTCTTAAAACCTGTCATCCCGATGGTCTTGGGGGTCCAGGCGCGCTGCTCCCGGTGCGGTGACCGAGGACCGCACGGCGGGACCCCGGCAGGCCGAGGTGGGTCGGGGCAGGGCAGGGGCCCCCGAGTACCCAGCAGGCCAGCCCCAGCTGCTCTACCCCGGAGCCCCGCCCAGCCCGCCGCTCGGCCGGTCGCGCCGGGGGAGGAGCCCCTCTTCATGCCCGGGAGTCCCGCCGGCCCGGCCCGCGACCCCGCTCACTCACCGCCCATCCTCTCGCTCCGCCAGCTTGGTCCTCCAGCTCAGACCACGGCACCCTGCCCTCTCCGCGCCTCCTCTGACGCACTTCCCTGCAGAGCCCGCCCCCTCCATGACTCCCGCGCCTCCACCTCCGCCTCCATCCCAGACCCGGCCAAGGCGGCCCCGGGCCGAGGGGCCTTGTGGGAGTTGTAGGAGGACCGGAGGAAAAGCTGGAGGAGGAGGCGGTTGGGCAGGCCTGGTGCAGCGCAGGGCATCGTGGGAAATGTAGTTGGTTCCGAAGGTTGGGTGGTGCCGCGCAAAGATCTAGGCTGAGGGATTATTACGTCTCAGAAAAGAAGGGACCAAGTTCCAGAAAGTAAGAGGGCTGGTGTCTGGTCATCCCTAGTCAATGGTTGTGATCTATGTAAGTCTGCCTTTCAGTTCTGTTTTTTTCCCAAACACACCACCCTCTAAAAATAAGATGAACAGTAACGGTACTTTACGTATCAAATGTTGAGCTCACACACACACACACACACACACAAAACACTGCCCCACATCCTCCCTCCCATTAGAACAGAGACTGGTTTGGTTTCTTAAGTTTAGACTGAGAATGTGATATGGCAAATGGTATCTTTGCAGAATATAATTACGTTATTGAGTTTGGGGAAATTATCTCTTCTATACTGTAATGAAATTTCCTTTGAGATTTCAGCGGGGTTTTTTTTCCTTCAATATATGAAATCCTAAGGATACTCGATGTCAAGAATGTGAACCAAAAAAATTGTGAACATAATATGAAAAGGACCGAAGTTTAGGGAACATCACTTCCAACAGTAAAGGTCGAGGACAGCATCATAGCCTGGCACGGAAATAATGGAATGATTCTGAACTGTAAAGTATTGCACAGAAATTCGTGGACAGGTAGCGGGACAGAAGCAGTTACCTTTAGTTCATGCTTCTAGTACAAGGTCAAGGGGCTGCATCTGGAGATGGACTTCTGGCTGACGGAGTCCTGAGGTGGAGTAAGAATCTCACGGACACCAACAAGCTTCAGGGACATCTTAACAGTAGCACATGTGGACCCATGAATGTGGCCTGAGACCAACAAATAATGAGTCTCTTAATAAATACTTGTGGAGGTAAGTCGACCCAGAGACTACAGGAGCTCCTGAAAGCCCCTACCCACCACCCACTTCCATACCTTCCAGTTTAACCAGGAGCCTGGGGAAAAGAAAGCTGATTTAAGATAAAATATCTACTACCCTGACAGAATGAAAGTATATTTTGTTTTATTTATTTCATCTGGGCTGTTAAATTGATACTCATATCCAGTGCCTCTCTAAAATAGGCAGTGTTAGCCAAATGCATCATAACATTTAACTATAACTGGATTTCCATATATAGCATCTAATCAAACGACAGTTCTGTGGCTGCTCTTGCAGACCTGGGTTTGGTTTGCAGTACCCACATGGAGGCTAACAGCCATCTGTAATGCCAGTTCCAGGGGATCCCACGCCTTCTTCTGACCTTCATGCCATTGCACAACACTAGTACACTCACATACATGCAGGCAATGCACACATAAAACAAAAACAATTTTTAAAAAGGAATCTACTTCTGAAGTCACACAGTCAACAAGTAGAGGCAAAAGAGAAATTTGAAGAAGAAACAGTCTCCGTTTATAGAAAAACTGAGGCCCAAAAAGATGAACTAACTTGGCAAACTTAAACACTTGGGTAAATAATTTTATGGCTTTGGATTACTTAATAATCTTTAGGTTTGGGACTGGAGAGATAGCTCAGCGGTTAAAAGCATTGACTGTTCTTGTGGACCCAGGTTCAGTTCCCAGCACCCACTTGGTAACTAACAACAGTCTGTAACTCCAGTTCCAGGGGATCCAATACCATCTTCTGACCTCTACAGGCATTGCACAACAATTCCCCCTGCAGAGGAAGGGAAGTAAGTCATGAAAGAGGAAGGTGTCCCTGCTCACCTCAGCTGGCTGATGAACCTATGTACTAACTGCCAGGTGACTAGGAAAGACTTACCAGGAAGCATTTCCACTGTGCTTGGTTAGCACTTACACACTTGCAGGCAATACACTCATACACATAAAATAAAAATAATAGATGAAATAATAGTTTTTTAAATAATCGTTAAGTTTAGGTTGTCTTTCTTCCAAAATATGAATTTTTGAAAATAGCACTATCCTATGTGCTCATTATTAGAATTAAACAAGAAAATGTAGAAAACATCCTGCAGAGGAGCTGGGGCTTACAAAAGAATCATTAAAGTATTATTTGCAAATAGTTTTGAATGTTTATAGTGTCTGAGGTTAGTATAAACAGGTTTTCAGACCTCCTGGATTCCCCCTGCAGGGGTGGGGAAGTAAATCATGAAAGAGGAAGGTGTCCCTGCTCACCTCAGCTAGTTTATGAACCTATGTACTAACTGCCAAGTGACTAGGAAAGACTTACCAGGAAGCATTTCCACTATGCTTGGTTAGCCCCCTGCCCAGGAGTAAGTCATCATGACACAGGAGGTAAATGTTTCTGGAAAGAAGCCCTGCAAAGAAGAATTATGCTTTCATCTTCCAGATCTGCAGAATGCCTAGAAAACACTCAGGAAATGTTTCAGTCACCAATTTAGTGTCAACATGGAAGTATGTGTTTGAGGTTTTGGCCACCCTGAACATCTCAGCACAGAAGACCTGAACTTCCTTCTCACACCCAGTCCCACCAACCACACTGCTTTATCTCTGTATCTTTGGTGTTTTCCAGTTTCTGTTTATACTAACTTGTACGGGTGAGCAAAATAAAACCTTAATAAATTAATGGATCTAAATTTCTGTTCTTATTTCTTACTGTACTATTCAAAAACAGTAGCTGGTTTCCTATGTATTAACTAGCAACCATGCACAGATTATGGAACTTAGATTTTAAACAAACTTGAACTAACTACACTTCTGGAAAAAATTGTTAAAGATGTTCCTAATTTCGACAGGAAGGGTTTATAGTTACAATACATTATAAATAAAAGCAGAAAATCTAAATATTCAGATACCATGCTCAATAATTACCCTCTATCACTAATTCCCTAATATAAACAAAATTCTGCTTTTAATTATTCACTGTAAGGAACTAAAAATTATATTAAGCAAAATATATCTACCTTATATTAGTCTCAAATATTTTGCCGTTTTTTTTCTTAAAAACTTCAGAACTCAAGAAAGAAACTAGAAGTATCGGTTTCAGGGTTCAAGCCCAAGCCCAAAACTGTCCCCAGAAACCTGTATCAGTCTTTGAATTCCTTTGTATCTGTTTACAACAGAACAGTGACAAAGTTAATCTTAGAAATGGCAAATCAAAACGCTCATTTTAATTGCCCCTTTCATTTAGTAAGTCCTGTTTGGTGTTTGCTGTCCATTAATTGTGAAGGACCACAAATGACCATTTGTAGATGAGAAATTTGAATTCAAATTGTCCTTTATTTTAAGAGACTGCGGGTCCTTCTGGGCCCTAGTGACCTCATTAGTAAAATGATTGTACTTATCAGTTGAAGTGATACCTATCAGATTGTACTTCACTGAAGCCACAAAATGTTTGATTCATAATTCAGCTGAAAGGAAAAGAATGTAACTTTAAAATAAGTCAGTCATAGATTTGTCACTGCTGGGACTGAGGCATAGCACCACAGCTGGAAGAGATCTCTTTACCCTTAAGGACCTCCACTTATGCAAACTCAAGATTTGGGGCTTCACCACAGAAAAGAATTTGAGAACAATCCAGGAGGGAGAGTTGGAGTTTATTAAAAGAGACTACAAGAGAGATTTTAAGCATGAGAGTTAAAGAGGTGCTCAGGAAAGACAAGACACCCAAGCATAGATATGGGCTTCTCAAAGGACAGTCATGCTTCAATACCTTTACAACATGCATGTATAGGGCCTGAGAGATGACTCAATGATTAAGAGCACCAGTTGCTCTTGCAGAGGATCAGGTTTTAGTTACAAAAACCCACATGGCAGCTAACACCCATCCAGTTCCAAGTGATCCAAAGTCCTCTTCTGGCTTCTATGGGCACCAGGCACACAACTGGTGCACTTATATGCCTGCAGGCAAAACTGCTATACACATAAAACAAAAATTAAAATTTAGAAAAATTTTTAAAAACAAAATGCATACAGATAGTGGCTCTCAAGTTACATCTCTAAAAGATACTAAGAACCGGCCCCCCCCCACACACACAGTTTTTTGGCACTGTTGAAAGAATGTACTTTACAACAAGTTTAAAAGGTTATAAGGGTCTTGTCAAAATGGATGGATGAGAAAGGAGTGCTGAAAATAAAAATGGCAGAACTAGTGAGATAGCTCATTGGATGTCCTAGTTTGTCTCTTCATTGCTGTGACAAAACACTCTGACCACTACCAAGGGTTTATTTGTCTTACGTCTCCCAGGTCACAGTTCGCCATGGAGCCCAAGGTAGGAACTCAGGGCAGGAACCCAGAGGCAGGAGCTGGAGCACAGTCCATAGAGGAACACTGCTTACTGACTTGCTCCCCTGGCCCCTGCTCAGCCTGCTTTGTTATGCAACATAGGCCCACCTGCCCAAGGATGGCACTGCCCACAGTGGGCTAGGCCCCACATCACTCAACAATCAAGCAGGTGTCCCATGGACATGGCCACAGGCCAGTCCTATGGAGGCAATTCCCCAGTTGAGGCTCCCTCAACCCAGGTGTGCCAAGACACTAAAGCTATCCAGCACAGTGGATAAAGTCCTTACCTTGCAAGTACAAGGACCTTGAGTCCAAGCCCCAAGAGCCCACATAGAAATGCCAGGCATGATGGCACATGTCTGTAATCCCAGCTCTAGGGAAGTAGAGATGGACACAGATACCTGAGGCTTGCTGGTCAGCCAGTCTATCCTACTTGACAGGTTCCAAGCCAGTGAAAGACCATATACGAAAAAATATAAGGTGGATGGTGCCCAAGGAATGGTATCTGAGGTGTCCTCTGGCATCCACATTCATATATGCACACATGCACCTGCACATGCACACACACACATATCCAAATATAATACACACAAAGTACTTTTTTAAAGTGTTAACACCTGGCCCAAAGCAAGC